TACTAAGCTCTCAGCATAGCATAATCTCTCCCCCCACCCCAATTCCACTTTCAGGGTTCTGAAGCACCTATTTTCACTTTGAGAAGTACAGAAGTCAGAGCTATGTAGCGGATTTTGCATTCTGATTGATTGCAAGCTAGTACAATGTATGTCAGCTGTTCTATATAATTACCCTGCCCTACGTTTTCCATGCTAGCACAACTCTCCTGTTCACTTCCTTACACGGCAGGACCACACCAAGGAAGGGCAATGGCCACTCCGCATTTCACTGGCCACTCTGCTTTACAAATCCTTGGTCACTGAAGAATCAACTTTATTTCTTCCTGTCTCCATGAACTAAGTAGGTTTTCATTATAATGAGGGTTGTAGTACTCGCTTTTTCAGTGGCAGGATCTAAGCAGAAGGCACTTCAAGAAGCTCCATAAATACTTTGGTCACAACGGGTGTGATCCGAATTTGAACATCTACTGGATGAGAAGCTGTAGGATTCTGGAGAAGCCCTACTGCACAGATGGAACAGCCAAACGCTCTGCCAACAGCGCCAGCAAAGATCTTCTTGCAGGGTGCTTGTGGACACATCCACTGCTTAAACACTGGTGTGATGTTTCTACTTCTGTATTTTTTACCTCCTCTCCCAGGCTGAGCATCGGGTTGGATACAGCAGCTAGGCTGCTGGTGTAGCAGTAGCATACTTACAGAGTAGGGTTCTTCTGAGACACACAACCTAATGGCCTAATAATGTAAAGTAAGTTTTTGGGAACTAGCATTCCCTCTGCCTGAAATCTCTAGTATGGGCAGGGCAGGGTGATACTGTATGCAGGGGGAAAACAAAACAAAACAAAACACACCCACACAACTAGCAACTACTCTGGGACTGAAGAACAGCACATTCTAACCTCAGCTAAAGGATCACCTTCTGAATCCAAGGAAGACTATCACAGGAAAAGGGAAATTAACCTGACCCCATAGATCGGCTAAAGAAAAAACAGGTGCTTTGTCCTTCCATGCCAGAAGGAGCATCTCTCAGAAATGTATAACAAAGAACTAGTGCATGAGTTTGCCTTTTTCCTTCTCCTTCCCAGTCCATTTTCCTTTTGTACTTGAGTACAGTAAAAAAAATGCCTGGGTGTTGGGATTGTCTTATTATTGGTCTTTGTAAGCTGCTCTAGGAGCATTATTTTTGGCTGAAGAGCAGGGTAAAAATGCTTTTCATAAACAAATGAGTTGAGCAGCTGTCCAGAAATGTGGTATTTGTTAATCAACAACAGTATGAATAATTTCCTTAGGTGACAAAGATTTTACCCCCTTCAGGTATGAGCAATACAGAAAACGCAAGTGGAGATGTAATGTATACTGAAGGAGTGCCAAGGTTTATGACCACACTCCTGGGGAATCTTTAAATGACAATAAAGAACAACTAGTGCTCACCACGAAACTGCTCCCTCCCAAATTCTAATGTAGCACTAAAATGGTGCATGTCAGCAATAAAAATAAAATGTCTATGACATTTTAAATGTTATCATACTGTCACAGTGGAATAAAATTAGCTTGAAAAATGATCTAAAGGGATGTGATGTTGTTCATTTATGTATAACAGCAACAGCAGCAGTTTCCCTGTGTTCATAAAGGTTTCTCCATTAAATTTACCTCCAGTCAATAATTAGGAGTCCACAAATAAACCTAGGCAATTAAATCAATACTGTTGGGCAATTATGTTCTACAGGCCAGGCTCAATGGCACAAGAAGACACTATATCAAACTTCAGTATTAAGTGATCTCATGTACTTTGCTGCAAGACAGTTTTGCAAGGAAAAAGGGAAATGTGGGCAGGACTCAGGTAGGGTGGGGAAAGCACGAGCCCAGGATATCACAAAACTGATGCCAATCCCTTGAGTGCCCAAACTAAACCATATGACTTGGGTGAGCTTTTTAGCATGCGCTCATTCCCCAGAGAAGGGAGTTTTCTTAGCCACAGCACATGTCGTCTGCTGCTGGCTCTCCAGAAAACGTGTCAGAAGCAGGAGTTGCCCCAACAGAGAGGTGGTTTTCAATGGCTTCCACTCGGAGGATGCAACATTTGCAACTACCTTTCTTCTCATAACTATATGCCCAAAAGGCAGATTCCTCCTTTAAGCTGCCACTCAGAAGTCCTAGTCTCATTCACGCCTGCTTCACATGAATACTTTCCCTCCAGTGATTTAACTTCAGTGCAGGAAAAGCACGCACAATGCACATGCTCCGGTATGTGGGTGAGGAAAAGATGTGTGTGTTCACGATGGCAAAGACATGATCAAGACTGAAATCTTACATGTGTTAAAAGAAAACCAAGAAGCTGTCCCTTTGGCAGTCGGTGAAAAGGGGATAGAAACAAAGCTAGAAGACAGTCCATAATGCAACTTCAATCCTATACCAGCCCAGAAATCCTAAGCACACTTACTTGGGAGTAAGCTCTCTTGAACTAAGTGGAGTTTATTTCCAGATAAAAGTTATTCTGTTGAAACCCCACACAATCCCCAAATAGGCACAGCAAAATGGCAGCCTAGACTCTGCCTAATGAATTTTTATTAATGGTGAGAAGTCAAAGGGAAAAAGGTATAGAGAATGAGTCTTCTGCATTCAAACACACCTATTATTGGTGCAGATGCAAGTCTGGAAAGGTTTGTTTTTAACCATGATGGCGAAATCAGAAGGGGGAGGTGAGATCACAACTTTACATCTCCCCATCAATGCCTTCCTTTTCATATTCTCCAGAAATTAAGTTGCTCCAGCATCAATGCTGATCATTGCTAAGCCAACTGGAGTTTGCCCTTAACTTGCATTTCTAACCAGCTTCAAATCCTCTTCTCCGATCCTAGCTATAAGGCAATCCATATGGCATGAACTGCGAGAAACATCAGTAAAGCCTGGCAAAGGTGTTTGATTCATGCCAAGAGAGAAAAGGGACAACACTGGGAGGGGAGGGGAGGGGTACTCACTCCTGTTGCTGACACCCAGGCTCTTAACCACAGTTAAAGAATCACCAGTGTTTTATGGGGATCAACGCCATAATGCACACTTCATGCACATCACATTTCTGGAACTTGTGGGCGAAAAAAGTTGGCACTCCTCTAGCCGAATATATTTCCTGGTAATAAATTAATAGCAGCCATCTCTGTAAAATTGGGTGGTGTGTTTTGGTCTTATGGTGAAAATGCACACCACTTTCTCTGGCTGCACAGATAGAATGAATCTTGGGAACCGCTTTCACGTGATTCAAAACATTTTGCTCCTCTCTTTTGGAAGAGAAACACAGACATATTATATGCCATTTATGCAACAATAGCATTTTGAAGGCAATTCCTCCCCAAATCACAGAGAACTCATTAGCAAAATTAAGAGGATAAATCGACTGTGGTGGGAAGAAGTTTCAGGATCCTGCTTCTGTTGTCAGCCATCTTGAAACAAAAGCTGGCGATGACTAGAAAAGCAGGGCTCTCACCTGCCAATAAGCTGCCCTTGATCACTTACACGAGGGGAGCCTCCCAGCAGACTGTGTGTGTATTAAAAAAGAGAGAGAGACTTGAAAGAAAAGAAAAAGTATCACACAGGTCACAGCGGCAGTCTCAATGGACCCCTCAGGGATTTCAACTAGTCTCAGCCTTGTCATCCTCTATGCAGCTTTCCACTCTGCCCAGAAAATGTCGATAGGAAAATGTTTGAGGGGCCTCTGGTGGAAATTTTTTCATTCTTTCTGCATTGACAGGATGCCAAATCAATATTTACTTCCCACTAACAAGCTGCTTGAGGTCTCAGTAGAAAATATTGTAGAGAATGCGGGAAGACACGGTAATAAACAGCTGTCTGGCTGTGAGGAAAACATGAATTGACTGGAAACAGGTCCATAGTAAAAGGTCACTGAAACCCATGAACTCCTCAGGTGTCCATATCAACTACTAACTTTAAAGGTGTATAACGGAAAAAAAACTCATTTTCCTAAGATGTATGAAGGGAATGGATCCTTCTCTCCACCAAGGATCTAGATGAACTCCATAATTTAATTAATACATTTGCCAAGATGTATGCTTGTCTCCCTAGATGTTTTATTTTCCATCTGAAAAGTAAGCTCAAACAAATGTAGTATTAACCTTTCCTCGATCTCATGCAAAGCCTCTAAGGTTAACAAAAAAGGATACTTAGGAAATATACTTTGAAAATTCTGAATATGAAACAAATTAATTATGCTTTAAAATCAAAACACATTAAACTATTTTAATTAAATCTGCACATGAACCTCACACATTGGAAGCACTCTGTGTTTCAAAGCTATTCAACACATCCTCTTTTCCTATACCTAAAGAATAGAAAGATAAGCAGAGGCTCTTGGTTAAGCATCCTTTTCTTTAGGACCTTCCACCTCCTTCCCTTTTCCATGTTAGACAAGCCAAGGGCTGCTCTTCACCTGGCAGGTATCCTCCTAAAGTGGAGCAAGAGGTGATTTCAAAGGAATGCATGCTAGGTGAGAAGCAAGCCCAGCTCACGTCTCATTGCAAAATAGCTAATCATGGCAATACTCCGTGGAGTGTGTGTGGGTGAGGCGTCTGCTGTTTGAGAAGCAGAGCTTTGCATAGACCAGCCAGTTATGACCTTTGACAAGTTCCAATATTCTAATAGGATGGATGCGCACCACTACAAAAAGAAGCAGAGTGAGATTCCCCCATACACAGGTCTCCCACTTGTTTGGCTGAGTCAGGGCTAGATTTTTCATCCTGGTAGCTTAGGGTCTCTTCAGTTAGGCTTCCCCAGGTGAGTGATGATGTCCCTCAAATAGCTTAACTGGGGAGAACCTTCCCTCTCTTCTTCCCAGCTGAGGCAGTTGGCCATTGTTGCTATCAGGTAGAGCAAAGCTTTCTGGACAGTATGGCATGAAGGCACCTTCTGTCTTCTTAAATAAACAATGGTCTGCTATGAACTAAGCAAGTTATCATAATGGTTATAATGAATGGAGAAAGAATATTAAGTACCTGTCCTTCAAGAAGCTTCTGTAAGTAGCACATCCATTCTTTATCACTTTCAAATTCCAGTTTCATCTGCTTTGTTTCCTAAAAAGGAAATAAATGTTGATGCATGATAACTTCTCTGTTCAGTGTGGAGGAGGTGGGGCTACCATCTCATAGCAGCAGGGCACTTTACTCTGGGAGTGATGACCCTTCAAGAGAGAGGAGACGGGGGAGAGAAGAACTGCCCTTCTCAGGCAACATCCAAACTGAAATTTCTTCAAGAGCTGCCACCCTCAGATAACTTGCAAACTGTACCTTCTTCAGGGAGCCTCCAACTTTGGTGAAACCCCACCATGCTTTTAGCTTGGATGTTTTCCTTGTGGCTTCAGCAGAAAAGGCCAGTGAACCTCCACAGTCAATAAGCCAGAAATTATAGAACTCCATGGCAAAATCCATGTGTGCTGGCATTTTAGCATTTGGGGGCTAGGATGGCTAGGATGACATCCCCAAAGCCCTCCTGACGGCATGCAGCAAATTTTTTGAAATGCCACTCATATGTTTACCAGCAATGCTGCCCCATCATTGGAACTATTATCAAAGTGAAATACAAAAATAGTTAAGAGTATGTATTTCTTAAGGGACCAAAATTTGGTTTAATGAGCAGAGAATCCTGTAGAATCCAAAATTCTTCATTGATAGGATAGTGCTGATGAAGAAGCCAACTTTCTATTTACGCAGGAATGGAAGGCTGAGTAGCTTGAGATGTGAGGAGTTATCTTAAAGGATCTTTCCCAGCAATTTCTCAGAAGTAAAAAGGCTGGCATGGTAAAAATGTGGCAGGGCACAGAAGACATGGTGAAAAAATGGAATAAAGTACAGAATAAGGAATGCCTCCGTTCCTAGCAGAATGCTGTACAGGATTAAACTGCTCTGTAGCATGCATCATTTACAAATACTTGACAGCGGAACACACTTGTTTCATTCGCATGGAAAACTTCAAAGGATCAGTGCTGTCACTGGAAGTAGTACAAAGAATCAAGATCTCTATAACAGGAAGAAGGGACACATGTCTAACTGCATCAAGGAAAAAGGAGATGAGAAAAAAGATACGTACTTAATTCAGCCAACATCCATGCAACTGATATTTATTGGGTTTGGGGTGGCTGAGGACACTATTAATACAGGATTTTTATTTACAATTGTTTGGGAAACATTTAGGCGGTTCACAGAACTGGATACAGAGAATTTGTTTCTTTTGCTATCATGGTATTTTGACTAAAAGACTCAGGATGGCATTGCTTCTTGTTCAGTTGAAAAATCACATAGGTCTATTACCTAGTGGTTCTCTTAAAACCTCTTAACGGGAAACAAAACCTTTCCAACTGGAAGTATCCAATGGCACTGTTCTTTTTATATTATTTATTTATTTATTAATTAAAACTTTTTTTAGGAAGTGGAACAGAGAAAGAGAGAAAGGAGCAAAAGCAGATCAAATAGTTCTTACTACAGTAAAATAAAATAAAAATAAAAAGGAAAAACATAGGGAATCTAAGTTACTGCTGTTAGTCCATTGATTTAAATGGAGTCATGTCAATCCAGACCAGCAATATATATTTGACTTTAAATCTTTATCAACATCAAATGCTAACAGAAACTTACTTCATCATCTCCAACATCAAGTATGTCATCTAAGTCGGTCTTCGAAATATTAAGGATAGATGCTGCCAAGTACTGGGCACGGTGAACAGATTCTTTGGAAAGGCTGCCACTGCATTTTTTGTCTTGTAGCATTTTTTTAGTACATCTAACTCGCGTTCTCATCTCTTTTACACTGTGCTGCAGCTCAGTCGCCAAAGTCTAATGAGGTGAAATTAAAAAAAACAAACAAATAAACAAATGTATTTACCATCAGTACATTTCGAGGTTATCTTTTGACACATCTGGTTCTTCAAGTAGCATATAAGAAATACTTGAAGGCATGGCTGTGGTTCTGGAAGTTGTCAGAATCAAAAGAAAGTTGACTGCAAATGACATATATACATATGCAAGTTACAATGCAAGCATTGGAAAGAAAGAAGACACATGTGAAAGGGTTGAGGCAAACCTAACAACTCCTCTGTTTGTTGGATGTAGACTTAAGTTGATAACAACACTGGAAAATCAGGCAGTTCTGGATGGCCATTAGACATATTTGATGTGCTTTTAATTTGTGCAGTTCCAAAGATGATCATCTTAGTTATTATTGTAAAAGAATACTAACACCAGACACTCTGCAATAATTAAATTAAAAGCAAAAACCCGATGGCCACAAGCTTATACTCTAAATGCAGGATCATGTCTCCAAATTCTCATGGATCTTATGCCTTTATCTGATTGTTCCTCAATTTTAGTCCTCTGTTTTCTCAAATCATCCCCTGTCAAAAGCCCATTTAATCATTTGTTTTGTTTTACAAATTAAAGAACATACACAATTGATATTTTTGTAACATAATTATTAAAACCAAGGCATGTTCATTAAAACCACCATTATATTATGAAAATCATAATCCTGGGCCAGGCCACTGGAAAGATCCCCTTTAAAGGTTTTAGGGAAAATTACTAGACTGTATTAGTGTCATATCATACATCACAGGCAGTAGATCAGGACCTCACTAGCCTGTTCACCACATGAGCACTAGTCAAAATGGGTCCCCATTTATCATCAGAAAAGAATAATCAAGTGCAGAATCAAGTTACATATATCTCGACCTTTCCACAGGCCACTTGAATGGAGCTCATGGACAGCAGTGATCCGTGGATCACAGCTCCGGCTGCCATTCGTTGCTCTGACTGGTTCACATGGCACTGTCTGGGTTAGGAAGTGGCAGAGCCATGTGCCAATCATGCATGATATAGGTCTTCGAGCCAGCAGTGCTATCAAGGACACCACAGAATTGCAACCTCCTGTTCCGAAAGTATGGCCACAGGACAGAGGATTTGCCTTGCAGGAGAGATACCTAAGCTTCCCTTTTTAGACCCGTTGCATCCAGTGCACTGATTTCAGTCATTCCCAAGCACCTCTAACTGAATACCAAATTGCAGCCTAAATGACTAATCACCAAGCAGGACTTTAATAACTTGTACTTCACTGATTTTTTTGTTTGTTTTCTTCTGTTTCCAACTCTCAAGGCAACTGCAAAATTATTCCCAATGTTCTCCTACCATCAGTGTCACAAGGGAAACATTGCAGTGTTGAATATGTTTTTAATTTTGGTAGCAAATAATTAAATGGCAAAGTGTTTGAAGCATTTACAATGGATGCTCACACATGTTTTAGAGGCTCATGATCTATTTTCCCAGCAGAGTACTACAGAAGATAGAATTCCCCCTGTGAAAACCTACCAGCCCAATCCTTCTTAAGTAGCTAATAAGTTCAATGCTGAGTATGTAAGGGAATGATCAAACAGTTTTTCCAGCAGTACTAGCTCATACTGGTAGGATGGAAAAGAAAGAAAAGTACATAAATAACAGTGAATCCGTGTAGGTTTACAACGTTCACACCTGAAATATTCAGTCAGCCTTAACCAGCTGGCATTCAGGCATGATCAAAACAATGTATTATCTGTCAGCTGAAAGAACTGGCTTACTACTGGCAGCAAATAGGAGTCAAAGTCTGATTAAAAAACAAGTAAGTCATTCATGATAAGAAAAAAAATGTAAGAATGAAGAATATATAAATGTACTGAAAGGGGAGATATACAGTCAAGCATTTTGTGGATACCTGGCAGCTTTGATTATAATTATTTTGATTATAAATTGCTCTAAGAGCTGAAATTATTATGTATTTTGGTAATAAACCAACCACAAAGCAAACAAAACAGCAGGTTGACTGGGGTATGTGAGATTATTATTATTTTTAACTAGAGAAATATGTCAGATTCCCTCCGCAGCCCTTGGTCAAGCTGTTCACATTACAATTAATAAGCACAAATCTATAATGAGAATCCTGTAACCTTCTGCAGCAAATGTGGTAGTCCAAAGGAAGCCAAGGATGAAAGAGCAAGCCAGGTGAAAACTGCATAGGATGCCCAGCAAAAGTCTGGTTTCTTGAGGTGTGTGCACAAGGAGGGAGGGGACAGGGAATGGTAAAGGAGGAACCACAGTAACCATGCAAAGTCACCAAACAACTAAGGAAAGCAGCACCAACTGTTCCAGATTTCAGAAGGGATCTGAAGTAAAGTATGTGTTTCTCCATCAAGGTCCAAACCTCTACTCTTGGATATAGTCAAGTTTAATTCGTTCTAAATTACTGGAACTGCCTTCAGTTGTGCTCTCTACTGCCCTTTTATGAAACCTCAGGAAAGCCAGACCAAAGAGGTGCATGGACTTGGAGATAAGTTTTCAACATTATCATCCAATTTGAGTCTTATCAATTTAAAATTTTGGTTTATGACAACCATTTCTAACAGAGAAGATGCTCTATTTTTAAAAACATTGTAAGGGTTTGTGATGCTTTTACATGCATGCAGTTAATATGTAAAGCCAGTGTGGTGCAGTGGTTAAGAACATGGGTCTGGGACTCAGGTGATCAGGGTTCAAGTTCCCATTCAAGCCATGGGGCCAACTTTGGGTCAATCACACACTCCCAGCCCAACTACCTCACAGGGTGGTTGTTGTTGTTGTGGGGATAAGACTGAGAGGAGGAAGAGGAGACTGATGTAAGCTGCTCTGAGTTCATTAAGAGAAAAAGAAAAAAGGTAGGATATAAATCTAAGAAATAAATAACTCCATTTATTTATAATAACAAACACTGAAACAATATTCCTGTGGCCTCTGGGCGAGTATCATAAGCACCACAGCATATGATGGATCTCTCATTACCAAAGGTGTAAGGTACTGATCATATCTCAGTCCTCAGGGATTAATGCTCTAAATGAACAGATCCAGTGAGCTGGCCAGGAATAAGGCAATCCCATATGATTGTCATATGTGGTCTATTCGAAGGAGAATTGATAACACCAATCCTTCTACCTTCTGGAATAAAAGAAATGGTGGGATCGTCATCTGAAGATGGAAAATTCAGAGATACTACACTCTATCAGTCCTGCTGAATCCTACAAATATGGCCCACAAATGTCAAAAGTGTTCTCTACTTTGGTTCATTTAGACTTAATACCAAATCATAGTTCTGTGATGAAGAGCACCTAGAGGACTCCCTCCTTCCTCCCCTTTTGTGCATAAGTCCCTAGCTCTGGGACCATCTTTCACCTATGATAGTTTGCTGGGACATGCAAATGGGTGCATTTTTATTAGTGCCGTCTTTTCAGATTGTGATCTAAGTGAGTTTACAAATGGCAGCCTGAAGGTTAGCGCTAACAATGGTTTGCCAGATTAGATGTCACCACAAGTCAAATATAATAAAGATAGAAGAGGGAGTCTGCAGACAAAAGAATGAGGGAGGAGAGTTTCTGATTCTCTAACCACGTTTTAATGCTATGCATGAATTAAACTTTGCCTTTAGGACTGCAGAATCACCATTTTCTTCTGTCGTGCATAGAAATGAATAGAGTCATCCATTAAATAAAGTACTGAATCATATATAAAACTAGTTACAGTAATATGAAGTTTGTTTATTGGTGTGCTGGGTAAAGTATTCTACTCTCTACTCTTCAGTGTATTCAGAACATGTTCATTAGAGAGGCATTTAAATGCATTTGAAACATTTCTAAAGAGATTTCTCTAATCCTAAAATCCATTTATTATTTTCCTATTACTCATTTTACAATCTTAAGATTTGGGTAATCTGGAATTAATAGTTACAATGGACTACTCCTATGAAATTTCTTAATACATCTTGGGAACAGCTTGTTTCTTTGATACTTTGGCAGATTATCAGAAGACAGCTTGAATAGAAGAAAAAAATTAAAGAATATGGAGGTAATCAGTAAAACAGAAAGAACACAGAGGTGTTCTAATACAGCCAGAGAACAAGTCAACAGTAACTAATGAAAATCTATTTATTTATTTCAACAGTGTTGATCCAGGACCACTTGTAGGCCAGGGATATGCATGCACCCCTTGAATGGTAGGGTGCATTTTGTTAGGCATGCGGACATGCGAGCTGCCTTGACAGCATGTGGCTTGGTCACATGGGCATTTTTGTTTTCTTCACAAGAGTGTGATCTTGTGTTCTGCTATAAAAAGCCGATGTTAGATACTGGGGTTTGAACCTCAAAATTTGCAGTGAAGAAGACTGCAAACTCTTGTGTAAGTGCAGAAGAAGAGGAGACCAAAAGTGTACAACATCAGCAGTTGTAATGAGCATGTACTCAGGCCAGATAATAAGTCGAAGAACCTCACTGCCTTTCACTGATCAGTAGAACAGTTCCTTCTGTGTATTGTACTTCAAGCTCTAGTTTCTGGCTTAAATTCTCACAGGCCCAGTGTGACAGCAGCCACCACCAAATCTGCTGTGCTACAACCAAGTATATATTTCCACATAGTGCAGCAGTACAGTGAAATACATGGAAAAAAGGAACCTGGAGCTGTCTACAGCCTTTACACCTAAAAGGAAGGTGAATTTGTTTAAGTTAAAATGGTAGAAGATATTAAAGCCCTATTTGTATTTAATGAATATGAATTAAAATTAATCTGAATTAGGTTGTTTAAAATTAAAGCTTAATTTCTTTTATATTTCACTTCTGCATTTTTTTTCTTTCAAGAGAAAAAGGTGTGTTCATGAAAATGAATGAGGGGAAGCCTCCTGTCCACCAAGGACCTTGGGATGAAAGATTTCTCTCTCCAGCCATTTTTTTGCATATATATCTTCTTTTTTCTATTACAAGTGAATCCATGCAGCATGGTCTCTACCTAATTGC